CTACTCTGTAGTGAATGAGTCAGCAGCTCTCTGCAGTAACTGGACCACCAAATCAGCGAAAAGTCGAGTGAATAATTCCATAAACTACTCAAGGTTAGTGCTAATGTTACTTCCTAACTGCTTGGTGTGTAAGTAGGAACCATGAGTAACCAAAAATGTCACATTGATAATGTATCAAAAGTACATTTATTGACTGATATTGCCTTTAGATTAATCGTCTCGTTTTGACGGGGTCCAAAATACGTTTCAAATACGCTGCGAGTCTATTTTCGACGGAGTACGCTGCAGGCACGCGTCAAACTTGACAAAATAGAACAACCTTGACAGGAAGTCAGACAAAGAAGCGCACACAGCGTCCGGTCAATTTCAAAATAAAACATGATATATGGACTCACAACCATATTTTCCATCACTTTATCAATACTAAGGCAAAACAGGCACCAAATGAATGTTTTTTTCTCTTTATTCCTGCGTGATCTTGTAGTTCTCCTGTGATGTGTGTACAGCATGCTCATGGCTGCGCTCCGCATCGCGGAACACAGATTATGTGGAAATCTTGGGTAACGTGCAGTGCTGTTGCATTCATACCAACAACGCTGGAGCTGTAAGTGAAACCTCAAAGAACTATACATGACAAAACAATAGAATATAAAAATACAATATACTACAATAAATAAATCTGATGAAGCGTTCATTTCATTACTTTCATAAGCATAGAGAGATCTAAGCAGATGCAAATGACTGGCTATCAAAGCTAATGAACATTAGGAAGCTGTGTAATGGAGGGGGATGAGTGGGTGGACTCAGCTGAAAGTGATGTGGTAATTAGCCAAAGCAATTCAGCAAGTTGAGCTGGATTCATGTGTTCTGCTCTTTGAATGATTTGCCTGACATGTGTGTGAATAAAGACAATCCCAAAAGCAACGGCCACTCACAGAGCTTATGTCTGCTCGGACGAACACGTCTCCTAACATGGAAATGAAATGAGGAGACACTCCACGGCCAGTTCTGTCTGACACTATGGTATATACCACGACTGCTGGATTATAACACCCGGCAATCATGGGCTCTAACACCCTATTTTTCAAATTGAGTTATCGTGAGAAAGTTCACTTTGTCTCCTTTTTCCATGCTTTATTCATTCATGAGCACAAGGACCAACTTCCAGACAGCCTGAGGCTGTAAGTGCACTCACAATACTTTTCCAAGCAATGTTCTTTCACTGATGTGCCTTCTCATATTAACTGGCTTGGCATCTGCGGTTGGCACTTTGTTCTGATTTGCCCTCTCTAGTGTTTATTGCAGTTAAGAATATGTCAAGAAGTGGATCATTGTGGTTTGGCTCCCTTGTAACGCTTGTTTTTCAAAAAGTGACACAGCCACCTCATTATCTTTATTAACCCTTGTGTTTATGTCTCATCAGGAGGAGAGTTTTTTACTCCCTCCTAATCAACCACACATAAATTCTTAAAGGTGTGTCTGTCTGGCTGGTTAATTAGTGCCTAGATTACATTGTTTTCAAACATCAAGAGTATTAAATACAGTGGGTCCCTAATCACACCTGTTGCTCTTTGGATTGAAAAAATGAAAGCTGCAGATTCATACAGGCGTCTGATGACTTATGACACTTAATTAGAGATGAAAATGAGATTATGCTTCAGCTGGTCTTGGTTCAGCTTTCACCCGCTTTGTTGTCGTGATTGATTTTCTCTTTGAAGAACTTCTTGCTAACAATCCCCCCCCCCTGCTGATGAAGACATATCTTAGCCAGAGGAGGCTGCAGTGTTCCTCTTTAATCATACTCTGGTCTGCTGATGTCATTCAAGATGTGAATTAGTGCAACACAAAGACGCTGTGGAGCCGGATCTCCGAGGCCTTCTGAAGTCTCCAAGGCAAAGGAGGACATGAATAGGCTGGGGAGGATGACATCGTCAGCTCTAATATGCTTTTCTGCTCCACTTGTCACACCCGGTGACAACATGTGTAGTTAGTGGGAACAAAAGCCAGAGGTAGAAATATTTCTCCTTGTACAGGATGAGAGCTTAATGCAGCAACAAGTGGATGAGCTCTGCTCTCACTTTCAGACTTAATTAGCAGCCAGAGGCTGTTAGTTATGAGCAATATCTTTTATTTTTATTTTAAGACAAAAGGTTTAGCTTTGGCATATCATCAAACAGATGAAGTATGGCATGTACCTGTATTATCCAGATCAACAGAAATAGTCAGGACAGGTGTGTAGAAAACAGGGCAGGACATGCTGCAAACTGAAGTGAACTCAGCTTTAAATGAAATGGAACCCCCCATTTTCATAATTGCCAAAAGAGTGATTAGATCTGTAACATGGGTTGCCAGATACCATTGGTGAGGTAAAGCATTAATGTTGGGTTCAAAGCACAATAGAACAAAGCTGAACATCCTCACTGAGATGACAACAAGACAAGAATTCTGCCCTTTTTGTGACCTTTCCACAAAAAAAATGAGCAAGCAACTTTTGGGGCATAATAGGCTACTGTTCAAGAAGCCACATAAAGGTTAATGAGTTGAGAATATGTATATCAGGGTTTTTTTTTTATAATAAGTTAGGTTGTCTAAACATCAGCTATTCAATACTTTTTTGGATACCAAAATGTTTTAAAATGATACAATATAATTTATATCATTTGAATGATTAATAGTATTGAAAAGCATCAAAGCTTTACAAAAACTTCAGATCTTCAGTAATATTTTGCCATATTTTAAGAAAAATGGAGAGGGCGTTGTCTTAGTTAGAAGTGTTGGCTTTGTGCTGTGGCTCAGTTCGTAAAGTCGGAAGGTTGGGGGGTTTGATCCCCAGCTAATGCAGCTTCATGTCTGATGTGTCCTTGGGAAAGACTAGTCATAAGACTAGAAGAGCGCTATAAGAGCTCAAGTCCATTTACCATTTAATAGCACAAAAGGATTGTACTGAAGTGCGAAAAGTTTCTTAATCAATATAAGTTTAAAAGGGCAGCACATGTTTAACTGATTCAAAAAATGATGTCTGACTCAAGAAATAAATGCAAAATGCTGAGTTATAATGTAATGTGCATGCAAATACACATAGGAGCTTTTACATACAGCTGCAACCAATTTTTACAACCAATCTTCTTTGCTCACACAGACCTCATTCTTAAACCTCTTCAGTGTTTCAGTCTAGATGAAGCAGTCTAGCTCTTTGCCCTTCATTTGAGGGTCTTTCAAAACCCCGCCTCCACTAACATGAGACTGCTATTGTCTTTTCATTTAACTCAAAATAAATAAGAATATGTAAATATTTTCCAATATATTACCAATTAAGGTTGACAAAATGTTTGCTACTGTGATAATTTATGATACCATGTGTCCTAAAATAATACAATCTCCATTAATGCAATAATACTGAAACTTCAGATAAACTACGGAAAACTACTACTACTGAAAAAAATACAGACCTCAGGTCATATTCTTAATCAAAAGTGTCCATGAGCAAAAAGAAGGAGAGCATGCTCCAAACCACTGGTTCTCAACTGGTGAAACAAATCAGATTTCTTGAGGGAAAATTGTGCAGTTTGGACCTCAGAGGATACGAAACGTGTGACATAAGCGAGAAACTGGACAAAACAAACATGTTTAAAAAGCGTTCACCACTTGAGAACCACTGGTCGAAACTGCACAAATATGTTGCACTTTTTGTGGTACTGAAACATTGTCAACACACTTGTGCAATTTAGACAGCGTGCAGGCGTTTGTCTGCTATTTTAATACATCAAAAGCAAGAAACTTCACAATATCCGGTGCCTAGAACTTATATTTTTGTTGCCATGGTAATGAAGCAGGTATCTAGAATCACATCGAAGTTCAGAAATCTGGTTTCATGACCCTGTTACCTGTTACTTCTTCAGGTGTCACATATTTCATTTTGTTGTTGTAAGATATGCACATTATATATTTCACACACATGGTTGAATGTATTCCATTGCAGCTCTTAATTTGTTTACCGGTCAGCTGGTCTCCATGAGCTTTGGGTAAACAAGCCTTGTACAGTACGGATTGAGGCTTCATGGCTTTAATTTGCATAATCATTGCATCGTTATATAATAAATGAGAACCTATTTCATATTCATCTGAGCTTATTTCACATGCATTTTTGGAAGCAGGTCAAGACAAATCAACAGCATGGAGAGAATATCCGTGGGATTTTACAGAACTGAAGCCCAAAACCAAAAAAGATTATTCATTTAAAGATGTTTGAATAAACAGCATTTTTTTTAGCACATCGTGATGTTGTGTTTTCACTGTCAATTACTGCATACATTTGGGAGAACATGGATTTCGTGTTGAAGGACTTGATGCTGCAGAAACAGTAAAGGGAGCAACACAATAATCTGGTATTCAAGAGAATGGATTGGAAGCCTCAATGTCCCTGAGCCTTCCCCTCTGTCACTATGATTTACAATAAAGCCCAGGAAGACTCTGTATGTGGGCTGCTGCATCAACATAATCTGAATCCTACTGTAGCAGCTGTAAAGCATTCACATCCCTGAGGCTGCTGCAGGGAAAGGGAACCCTGGGATCCGAATGCCTTTAGTTTAAAGTTATGTGTGTTGTGTAGTGCAATAACCTTAGTGTTTATCTTCAAAATCTGTTCATGTCATTTTATTCACTTTTGTTCTGCAGTTAAAAGCCACACTGGGCTGTAAGAGCAGTATATTACTGTATATTTTTAACCTGAATTAAACTGGTAATTTGAGCTTGTCTTACCTAAAATAATCTGAGAGGACTGTCTTTTGAACCTTTGTGTAATGACAATGGTGGATAAATGGTTCTAATGCTGAATGCTGCTGCTTTTGCTGATAAAGAACGTGCAGTAGCGGTATGGTCATTCCAAAGATTTAACAAAGGACACCGGATATGAGTTTGGATGCAGTGCGTAACTGATGTAAATCTGTGAATGAATAAAGTTATTACTGAAAGTGATCAGTGAATAGACTGAGTGAACTCACCCTCTCCTCCTCCTCTCTGAGATCTGGCATGGTGCTGACACACAGCGTCACAGCAGTAATGGCTACAAATATCACTGACAAACAGGCAAAGATCTTCCCTGGCAGGCCAGAGTGGGGGTTCTCCACCATGTCCCGCAGTCTTCGCATGCAGCCTCCTGTACGGGTCTCTTCCTGCATCACCACTCCAGGAAGCTGCTGGCTCTCATCGCAGGACTGGGGCGAGGTCAGCTCGGCCTCCTCCTCCTCTAGCCTCTGCAGCTCCTTGTATTCCTCCTGCCTGAGCCGCAGTTTTCTGAGGCAGCACCAGTCCAGGTTGTTCTCCTCCACGCCCCAATACAGCAGCTCCTCCTGAAAGGACAGGGCACACATCTCCCTCAGCAGCCGTAGCTTACCCGCTGCTAAGAAAGAGACTATGGTGCGGAAAGCAGTCGGGCTGCGGTCAAAGAAATACTCATTTCGGCTGTCGTCGTAGTCGTCGCACAAATCCATGATCTCGGCCTCACTGCTACAGCCGCGCAGCTTGCCCAGTCGTGTCAGGGGGAACTCCTCCAGTGTTGACCAGGGAATGCGGTACTTGATGCCCCCCACGTTGATAATGGCTGCGCCGTCAGCCAGGCCGACCTCATCTCCATCCTGCTTGCGAGGCTGGGGTTGAAGTAGTAGCTGAGCTCGTTTGTAGAATAAACCCTTCTTGGAGGTGACCTCCTTTGGGTTCTCCACAGGGTTGAAGTGATAGGGGGTGAACTGGTGCTCAGTGCTGCCAGCGAGGAATGCCACTTCCTGGTACATTCCTGCTACTCTGTTGGGGGGACCCTGTCCTGCACGGTGCGATGGAAGGGAGCTTCACAGGGTTGGTGAGGTGACTGGTAGCTCGTCACCCATTCAGCAACACAGCACGACTCTGTAGGAAAAAGAAAAAAAGAGAAGTTTTCTCTTATTAAGTGTTTTAACAGAACACGACTGCAGGCCTCAATTTTGTCCATCACCCATCTCTTCCTCTTTTGGATCTCTTTTGTATGAAACATCCAGACATGTCACTACAACGCAAGATCTGAAGGTGGTTGTGTGGCTGCATCTGACAACTTTTGTAACCCCTAAAAACCCTCAAGTGGAACATTTCTTCTGTCTTTAGAAAGCGATAAACAACATGAGGTGAGAATATTTTGAGCCCATCTCTCAAGTACCAAACCATGAATGCCTTTGATAATGTCATTGAACCCTCAAATTCGATCGTGTAAGCTTTTGTTAACAAATGCCTATGGTAGAAGCTGCAGGTTAAACACAAGCGGCAACCTCCGGTGTTGAAAAATGAAGCCAATGTGGAAAAATCCTGCAGTCTGTCGAGGGTCCACATGAAGCTGGCTGCAGAAACACCAGAAGTCAAATACACATCCCGCTTAAAAGAGCCGATATCTCGATCGGCACACACTGTACGGGGGTTACATTTTTTGACAAAGGCTTAAAACCCGACTCAGCCCCAGCTCTTAGCCTGTCAGTAGATTGACTGAAAGTTAGGGTGAGACAGCATTTCCATCATAGCGCCTGCCATCGTTTGGACTCCAAAGCCCCCTCCAGTTGGGTGACATCACTTGGGCTCCGTCCGTTAATATCTGTGGTAAAAACGTTATCTACCAAACATGCACAGTTACACACAATGTCTGTTATTTTGGTAAAGGCAAAGTTCACCACATTATAGTGCTTCCAGATACTGGGCCTCACCCATTACTGGTCAAACAAAAACTTCAAACTTCACTCATTGTGTTGATCATGACTTATGGATATAATTTTTGTGGGCCTCCTCTGACTGAGGAAACAGAGAGCTGGAGATTTCATAACAAACCAAGCTACTTTAGCGAATTACAAGTGTAGCACTTCTTGTTGGTCTTGTTTGATTGTAAACAGTGTAAATCATTTTACAGCCTGTTACAGAAGATGCAAATCCAAACAAGCAGTAATTAATGATGTTTTTCTATTTACTGCATCATCAGTGAATTGAATGAGACAGGATTGTGTCTAAAACTAGCAAATCAAGAGAATCATTTTGGTCTAATCACAACACAAAGAAGCACAAAGAAGATGTGAGATCTGAAGTTAAGTACCAAATGCTGTAAAGTACACACGTGAAGTAAACATATGTCCGATGTTTTATGTATGTAGTAATGGTTTATTCATTGCTCATTTCATATGAACACGCAGCTTCTGCAACAATGTATTATTCACACCAGGCTTTTCTGTCCACATGAAAAATATTCTTTTTACTGAAGATCAAAAGGACAACTTCTGTAAGGAGTGCTGACTTACTGTAATGATGCAGAAAGTCACATTTACTCTTCACAAAGTACAACTATATCCACATGCACATTGCTACTGATGAGGACGATGAGTTAAAATTTGATTGTGATAATTATTTTACTGTTTGTGGCCAATAAAAAAATGTAGGTTGCAACATAGAAAACTGAATACAAATCTGTGTATAAAACAACCAACAGCACAAAGAGAAAGGAGAAACTCAGAGGGAAAAAAAAAGATTTCTCCTCAAATGTTTTTGTGGTAGTGCAATATAAAGTAGACCAGAGTGCATCAACTGACGATGCTGTACAGGATCATATATTAATATCATTTATGGGGGAACTCTTGCTTTCCCCTTTGTGAAAGTAAGTTTTGTCCAGTTTTGCATTCCTTGAGGACAGGCCTAGATTTATCATGTTTTGTGCGTTTGTCAAGAGTTATGCCTCAAGGAATTGACCATCACGGGTGCTGGTGGCCTAGTGGTAAGTGTGCATGCCCCTATGTATGAACGCTATATGCCTCCGAGCGTGCAGCCTGGGTTAGAATCCGACCTGTTGCTCCTTTTTCTGCATGTCATTCAACACTTTCTCTCCCCAATTTCTGACTCTATCCACTGTCCTATCTCTAAATAAAGTCCTAAAAAGCAAACAACCCTTGACTTGTAATCAAAGCAACATGAATAATGACTTGATGGACACGTTTGGACAGCTTGTGACAGACGCATATCTACTATTGTCCAACATTCACTGTGGTGTTGCTTCTTTCAACTAACCTGCCCCTGAAACTGAGCTGATCCAGAATCCTACCTACTGACACACTTTGATGGATTTCCTGAAATGTTGAGTAATGTCGATTTTTCCATGGAGAAAATAAACTGATACAAATGAAGACATGACATGAGACTGCTCACCACAGCTTTAGAGGCTGAGGAAACATTTGTCTAGAGAACTTGAGACTTTTTCAAAGACAGTTGGATACATCCCCCCCCTAAGAGAAAAAAGAAAATCAAAAGAGACGGTGATCAAGAAAAAGGCTACTTTTTTAAGTTTTTGACATCATGACAGTGGTTTGCGGGCTCCTGCTGTTTTGGTGAATCAGACCAGTTTCATCACTCCCCTTTCAAACAGTGAAATGTGTCAGTCAGAGAGCGGATTGACGCTTTTCACATCTTCTGAAGAAAAAAAAGATATTTGCACATTACATGTTTGTGACGCGATGCTGTCTAAAGCTGAGATATTTCTTGTTTCATTAAACATTGCCATCTGGATACAGCATCCGGAAAACACAGGATGAAAGTCCAGCAACATGTCAGAGAACCTTTAGTCACTAAGGATGAGTGTACTGGCCCTGGAGGCTGTGGGGCTGATGTAGGGAGGCTCACCACATCATCACAAGAAATTAAGAGTTGGGACCCTCTAGCTATCCTCAGAGTTTGCTCTTCTGTTGTGAGGCCAATCATTTTAGAAACAGGCCGCTTTCTCCCAGAGAGGGGGGCAGAGTGCAGCACCTCTACAGCGACTCTGCAAAGTGGCTCTGACAGCAGCAGTTTATTGAGCATGACACGGCACCCAGGGGTGGCTTCAGGGGCACAGCAAGAATTAATTCAAGTTATATAGGAGGCGATCCATAAAAGGGCAAATTGTCAGATATGGCTCCTTGAAGTCTGACATTTAGGATCAAATATATTTAGGAATAAGGCGGTTGCAGCAGATCGCGACCTTAAAAGTATATTTGAGTTGAGTATTTAGTCATCATCAAAGGTAAGGTTTGACATTTTGGGAAATTACTTTTTTAGCTTCTTGCTTAGAGTTGCATGATTTGTTAAACTGCTGCCAGTTAGCGTAGCATAAAGTCTGCAAGCAGCAGAAACAACAGGCCTGGCTCTGTCCAGATTAGGGCTGCACAATACTAAGGAAATCTGCAACACTGTTAAAAATGCAGATGAAGATTTGACTTGTTACTAATAAATACTGCAGTGTGCATATATGCTGATTTTACAGCCTATCTGCCTTTCTGCTGTGAAACAAGTTTGACGTGATCTGTGAAACACTGACTCTCCTATATAAGCTTCAGAAAGTGTTCAAAATACCGGAGGTGCTGTCTTACTACTTTTTTTCTTACTCTTCTTTACGTCATCAGCCAATTGTGCTTGCTGACTTCAGATTTTCAGCAAAACTGACACCATTTAGTCCAAGAGTAGCTAACGGCTAGGTAAGGCTCAATCTGATTGCCCAAATGAGAGTATACTGAATGTAGAACTAGACGAGTAGATTTCTAAAAAAAAAAATGATATAACATTTATACACTGTGCTTAAACAGTCTTTTGTGATTTGCTTGGTATGCATGTTATGACAATAAACAATTATTTATCTCATTAAAGTTGTTATCTGGCTTGTTCTACCCACACTAATAACTGCTCTCTAAAAAGATGAGACTGTTGTTATCCCTTTTTTTAACTGACACATCTGTATCAAGTGTAAGGCCGGCCATGGAGAGGAGAGAAAGAAAGTCCTGTTTTAATTCAAACTCTGACTGGCTATTGTAGCCTAGGAACAGTGAATTAAAGGTCCTTATTGGTCATATTAGTTCAATCGAAAGGTCAGAGTACATGAATTAGTACAAAAGAAGACAGATGAAAACTGGGAAATCTTTTACTGGATTTGTATCATGGGGATCCTTGCCGGAGCAGCGGGACTGTTTTCGTTGGAATATTATGACTGGAAGAGTACAGTAGACCTTCAGACGGTAAGAAACATGGTCCAGAATCAGACTTGTTTGATGCTCTGACAGCTCGTTGTAGCTGCTACTTTGGTTGGATCTCATGGTATGAATCACTACAGACCTAGCTTTCTAGTGATGTATGCATGAGTGATAATTATACACAGCAGTTGTGTAAATAAGAGTGATAATGAGAAGACATACTTTTAGCCCGATCGCAGAAGAGTTTCTGTTTAAAAAAAAATTAAAAATTAAAAAACTGTTTCTATTATTTCTAGATTTTCAACATAGACATGGGTGTAATTTTCACATCATAGCCTCTTAAGAACTCTAATCTATTGACATTGCAAAAGCTGATTTTTTTAGGATCATAGTGGTGAATGTCAACGATGGTTTTAACTTCAGTTAATTATGAACGAGATGAAATGACAATGTGATGAGAGAAAGAGGGACAGAGTTCAGACTGAGTTCTAACCACCTTACACCAGACAACAGATAATAGGAGCGTATCTCTTACACCAGACAGTTTGTATTTCAGTTCAACACTGGAACTTTTTTAGGGACCGTGAAATTGCTTTTAAATTGTCTCAGTATAAGGTTGGCATAATTTGTTCCATATTGGCAGGTGCAACAGGTGAGTGAAAAAGAGCAACCTGAAATGTCCTTAGTAGAGGTCTTATCAGGCACAATAACTGAAAACAGCTGTGTATGTAGGCTATGGCTGTTTTGGAGGCCACAATAGTTTTAGATCTTGTATTCAGAATGTTCACTTATCTACAGCAGTGGGGGTCGGGTACCCCGTGGGTCACTGGCCACCAAGAAGGGGGTTACGAGATGATACAAGAATATAAAATTGTATATTTCATCCATTATTTAAAATACATATATAGCCTA